AAGGGGGGCAAAGTGGAATTGAGGTCCGCGTTGGGGTCGGGTAGGAAAGAAGGTTCCGGAGGGTTAAGCGCCGGAAAATTAGCTAGTGGCTGCAGGTTAGAAGAATCCGGGAAACTAGACACGTGCTGAAAGCTAGGGTCCGGTAGGAAAGAAGGTTGCGGTGGGTTAAGTGCCGGAAAATCAGCTAGTGGTTGCAGGTTCGAAGAATCCAGGAAACCAGACACGGGCTGAAAGCCAGGGTCAAGCATGAGGCTGGAGTCCCACTGAGAAGAAGAATTCTGCTGGGATGGCACTTGGGTGTTACGGGCAAGTTGCGCAGCAATTTCATCGTTCACGGCTTGGAAAGCTGTAAGAAAGTCTCGCGGGGCCACGTACTGGAGCCCCGTGGATCCACCTTGTGAATAACTAAAATCCGACGTTCCTTGTGTAGATGAGAATGACATATCCTGACTGCTTTGGTAGCATTGGTGAGGCATGGCTAGGGTCTGCTCGGCTAGAGGCTCCTCTTGAATTGCCGGTATTGATGGCTGGAGTGCGGTCTCTGCTTTGGCAGCTCCTGACACGGAGCTCTTCGATTTGTGACTCGCCCGTCGGCTGCTTCTTCTGGCCGGTTTGGCTAGGACTTCGCCGCCCTGGATTTCAGCCAAAGACTTGACAGGCCCGTTGAGGGTGACACCTTTGAGAGCGTACATGTCAACTTCCACGCCGGCAAGTTTGTATTCCTTTTTTGAGGGTCTGCCCCTCTTGACAACACCATTGGCTCCCGGGAGCTGACGGAAGCCGGTCCGGTGCTGCTTTCGAGGACCTTTCGGTGGCGCAAAGCGCGGTCGCGATGAGGCAGTAGCGGTGCGGCCTGATGACTCTGGCTTTACCGCGCTCCCGTTTTCTTGGGTTGCGAAAAGACTGTGGAAGACCGCCAAGTTACTCTGGCTGAGCCCAGTTTGGGAACTCGGGTTGAGAAAATCTACCCCCAAACCAGTAAGGGTTGACATGGTATCCGGAAGAGCCGGGAGGTTAGATTGCGTCCCCCAAAAATCCAGCGGAAATGATGAAGAAGTGAAATCAAGTCCAGGGGTTGTGGCCAAGCTTGAGGTTGAGGTATTCACCGTTGATGAGGGCGGCATGGCTCTGCAGCATAGAGACAAATCAACTAGAGGTAGCGGGGATAGAGAAGTAAATAGGAGCGCTACAGAGAAATACTCACAGTAAGTAGTCAAACTCAGACAACATGTGATTATCATGTTGGTCCATCCTTGAATCAAAGTAAATGAGTGCTCAGTGTTTGAGGGTAGGTGATGTTTTAAAGAAAGAAGTACGATAATGAAGGTTGGGTATATGCACAGTGGGTGTGAGATCAGCAGGGAATGGGCGGAATGTTGCCGGTGTAGTGTAGCGTATTGCTTCTGTTTTGATCCCCTCGGAGGTCATCAAGAGCCGCCGGCTGCCTCTGTTCACAGCCACCATCTCATCTTTTGTTTCCTTGTCTGCTAGACTAAAGAGTGATATTGTAGTCGGTGAGAACAATAGAAAACGGAGAACCGGGAGGAAATGCATTATCCCGAGACAAAGAAAACAGAGTTTGAGGTGCCTAAAAAAGAAAACGGACGTGACCTATGACTTCTTATTCCGGTCAAGCAGCTTGTAGAAGAAAGCAACCGGATGGATCCCGAGAGGAAAGCAAACCAGCGTCCGTGATGACAACAGGTCTCGGTGGATCGACTAGTTTACAGTACTGTTATTCTCCCTCATCCAGGCTCCGCGGACGTTAGGTTTTAGTGGCACGCGCCCGGGTTCGACGGAAGATCCGGAGCCGGTCACTGATCTCTCGTTTATTATTGTGGAAAGATATTTGTATGCTGCAGGGGCCAGCAAGTCCTATCCATTCCTGTTCCGGGAATGAAAAACAAATGAAGCAAGCTGCTCTAATATCGGAGGGAAGGAGAGGCCTCAGAACTTGCAGTGTGACCTCATCAACGCGACAATGGGTTCAAAGCTAGGCTAGGTGCAACCTGACACTTTTCCCATACATCTGGTTCTACGACACACGGATGATTCTAATCCATATCTCAGCACGCCAATTTACATGATTCCTTCACGAGGAAAATGTGCATAAAGCAACTTGTCTCAACATAGCGTCAGTCACCTTATCTGCAATTCACTGCAGCCTCACGCCGTCACCGGTCCACCGAATCGTCAGAAGAAAGTCATAGTTCTTCCGGCATGTCTCTCGGGTGTTCTTTCCGTTGAACACCGCGTTTGCAAGATTGATCCTATTGCCTTGTTTGCAATGCTGGTCATTTGCCCTTTTATGCTTATTATTTTGCTTGGGTATGCATTCAGGTGTGCGCCGTCGTAACCATATGCGCTGGAGACATAAGACTATCCCCCCTGACAATTTTACGTGACGCCATCATGGTTATATATTTGTGATTTCATCTCGTAAATTGTAGCGGTCGCGAAGCGCGACAACAGGGGACTTGACCGAAGATGCCTTCAAAGACACTACTGCAGTTCGAAGTGGACAACTATAGCTTCACTCCCGGCCTCTCTTTGCGTGGATCAGTCGTTGTGATCTCTTTTGGCTGGTTTTCCCTTCCTGTTGCGGAGTTCTACAGCTTAATAATCGCTAGCGGCAAATCTTTAGTGCGGGTCTGTCACTAAAGCTGTCACTGGCTCTGTGACAGGCTCGTAAGCCTACCGCAAGATGCTGCAGCGCATGAATGGTCAACAGCACAGAATCAACCGACAACCACCAACGGAGAACAACTGGTCTACCAACTCGATCCCTGCCACTATCTGCCATCAACGCTTCGTAACCATTCCAGTCAGAAGGACTAGCTAGCCCAAAACACGCAGCTACCATGGGGGCCTTTCTTTCCATCCCCCTGCTCGGGGCTGTCAGTGGGATGATTTCGACAATCGGGTGCGTTATCATTAGTTTCTTCCTATCAAAGGCTTCGATGATACTCCCAATTAATCAAGTGTCTTGGATGTCTCTTTCTATTCATCTTTAGGCTTAGCTGTATTAGTGGACTCGTGTTCTTTTGCACCTCGCAAGCAGCTTCAGCCTTCTGCAAATCATGCAACTTTTCATCCTCTATTGCCACCCGCATGGCATACTGCTTGATTCTCATACTCAATAGCTTATTTGCCTGGATTATGCTTACTCCTTTCGCCATCAAAAAACTCGAGAGTTGGAGTTATGATTACATCAAAATGAGGTTGGTCCATCCTGACCCATCTCTGTTGATTCAAGTAATTCAATTGCTAATATGAAGGTTTTTTTTTCTCTCATCTGACATCTCAGCTGCCCAGAAGATACCTGCTATGGTGTTTTGGCCGTCCACAGGATATGCTTTGCCCTCACTCTCTTTCACGTCATCCTTGCACTACTACTATTAAAAGTCCGAAATACTCGACAGAAAATGGCGGTTATACAGAATGGATGGTGGGGACCCAAAGTTCTCATTTGGCTCGTACTAGTCTTTTCCACCTTCTTTATCCCCAACGGGTTTTTCATGTTTTATTCGCGGTATATCGCCTGGCTTGGTTCGATGGTCTTCATTTTCTTTGGCCTCGTCCTCCTCGTCGATTTCGCTTACGTCTTTGGCGATTACGTACTTTTGGAGATCGAGAAATGTGCCCACATGGTCGACTGGCGTTCCAAACTTTGGGTTTACACTTTGATCACCGTGCCGCTTTCGATGCATTTACTCACCATTGCAATCAGTATCGTCGACCTGACCTTCTTCGGCGTCTCTGGCTGTGGGCTGAATCGATTCTTCATCATCTTTAACCTGATCCTCTGTTTCATTGTCACCTGCATCTCACTTCATCCGGCCGTTCGAGAGGTCAACTCTAGCTCTGGAGTCATTCAATCGGGTGTCGTAGTCATCTACTGTACCCAGCTCGTCACCTCAGCTGTCGCAAATCATGACGAGGGAGATAGTCGCTGCAATCCGTTAACGAAACTGCAGGAAGGTACCGAAACATCCATGGTCGTTCTTGGGGCGCTCATGACCCTGCTGGCCGTCGCTTACACAACTTTCCGAGCTGGCACTCGGTCGTTCGAGTTTACTGGAATGATGAACGAGTCCGCAGATACTGGCTATGTCGCCCTCCAAGACTCCGATCCAGAGCGACCTCCTCCAACCCCCATTACATCCCAACCTAAGAAAAAAGACCCGCTGAGAATTCAAGCCATCCAAGCAGCAGTGGACGAGGGCTCATTACCTGCCAGCGCCTTGGAGCAAGAATTGAGACAGAACCAAGATGATGATGACGATGATCATGACCGCGAAGATTTTGGGTCTCAGAACAAGGATGACGAGACTATCAAAGTCAGATACCATTACTCATCATTCCACTTCATCTTCGTTCTGGCGACAATGTATGTCGCGATGCTATTGACCCATTGGTAAGTGATCCACTGATCAGTTTCATCTAGATTTATGTCTCATCCCCCATTCCGAAGGTATCGATTCACTTACATTCATTATTTCTTGCTTGTGTGCGCAGGAACATTGTCACCCGATCTGGACATGAGTCTGACGACCACGCGACACCTGTGAAGATCGGACACAGTACGGCAACGATGTGGATGCGCATAATCAGTAGTTGGGTTTGCATGGCAATCTATGCCTGGACCTTGATTGCGCCAGTTGTATTTCCCGATCGTTTCTCGGGAATCTAGGGTCATTGGTAAAACGCTCGTGGGACCTTATCTGGGCCCGCTGTTTTTTCGGTTTCCTTTGTTGCTCTACGTTACATCCAGTTTTCTTTTGTACGGGCTAGATCATATTTTGTTGTAATACCATTCTACACATACACATTCACAATCGAGTTTATTTGGATCCCTTGGAGCATCCTCCTTTGTGTCATCCTATATATATATCCGATCCACATTCTTGTCGTGTTTCTCAGTGGTTGCGTCCGGTGGGAATCGAACTACGCGCCTCAAGGGCGAGGTATATATATTTTGAATGCAGTCCGCATCATGCACACACTGTCTGGCCTCTCATTCGAACGTCCCCCTCGCCTTTTACTAGGGAGACCCGGGGGTCAGGCGGAAATGTGTGCTTGCAATCTTTCTCGGCCCGCAAGGGTTCATCGCCTCTGGCTTCTTTTGCTTTTTCTTGCGGTCGGCTGTCAATACAAATCCTCCACACAGCCTCCTACTCTGGAGGCGGGCTCCTAAGCCCAATCTCCCCTCCGCAGGAGAAGCTTGCCAGTAATTGTGTCCACTATGGCCTGAGAGCTTGTGGCGTATGGTCACTTTCCGGCTTTTAATTTGCTAGGAGAAATATATCTCAATGAAAATCCTGATTTTGAGACACGTCTGATAGGAGTTTAGAGGGATGGAAGGATGATTCATTGGGCCCTTGAATAGGTCTCATCAAGGCCTGTTTTTTGGTCTAACCAGCAGGTAAAACATGCAGGAGGAAGGTGATGAAAATGGATGGGTAAGTTTTGCCTACCGAAAGTTCATTATGCTCTCACGCCAGATCAGCGACATCACTGGCAAGCTCCTCCTTTGGAGGTCGCGCTTCACGCCAGCTCCTCCGAAGTTGGAGGGGCTTGTGTTAAGCTCGGGCTGGATCCAGGGAAGATTTACGACCTGATAACGACCGACGCCCGAACAGGGGCTCTTACTTTTCATTCTCTTGTCTGACTTCCATTCTCTTATCTTCCTCAGTTGTACCGGCGAGAAGACGTCTCCACATCCCTTGAGACTCCCGATGCTGACGGATTAACCACATGTCGGCCCATCCTTATCACTCCTTCTCATCGCGCGCATCCGGTTGTGGGCTATAAATAGCCGTGTCTTTCTCCCCTCATTATTTCTTCACGTAATCAATAACGCAAGCTGTTTAGCTTCCCATAGCCCCTGTAACGTGGCAGGTTACACTTTGCAGTCCGACCAACAAATCTGCCTTGATAAAAATTGACTGTCATCCTTTCTCTACACACATCGCGAGCAATGGGTTTATGTTGGAGATTCTTTCTGGTGAACCCTCTGGAAATATGCGCTATTTTGAGTGGCTCATTCAAGTGAGTAGTTGGACTGATCAGATGGTCTGTTGTAATGAAAGCTTGTTGCAGCAGTCTTACAGATCAGCTCCACTCTTGAATCATCAGCACATCCATTTCCCAATCAAGCTAGTCACCCAGAACCACTACCAGCGGAAGTTGAGCGGAAGCTCAAGGCCAATGTCTTGGACCCGCCTTTGGATTTTCACCATCGGTCAGGAAACCTGCAGAAAACCCTCGCCAAGCGCTCTGTGGGCCATTTCTTCGAATCAATCTCACTGCCAGTGTAACTTTCTCAGTGTTATCTCTCGCTGATTGTCGGTGTAATGGTGGTATCCAGTTGAACCCCAATCGGTGTATGATTTGTGAGCAGGACATCGATCGATCCACAATGGGGGAACTACCATGTGGTCACCCATATCACCGATCGTGCCTGGAAAGGCCGCCCGATACTCCGCAATCTTCCGGAAGTGCAGGCACCTGCCCGTTGTGTATTCCAGCCGGACACCAACCGGAATCAGCGATTTCGGGAGAAATTGCAGTTGTAAGCGTCTAGACTACTTGTTTGCCAAAGCCTTTAACACTCACAACGTCCTATCTTTTCGACATCCTCCATCCACAATCAACTACAAATGGAACGCTCTACCCATGTCAACTGTTGAGAGCAGATTAAATGTCCACAATGCATGCAAAAAACCCTGCGTATTGAGACATCGCCAGACTTCGTTTCCTTTACATGTGATTCGGGATGTGGATACAGGAAAACGATTCCTGTAACGAAAGAAGTGCACTAATTAGCATAACTCTTTGGATTTGATCCAACCAAGGCTTACATTGCATCAGGGTTAGGTTTACAAAGAGAGGGGAACAAGGTTTCATGTCATGTTACATATCTTTTGTTTATTTTTCCGGATATTACACACTTGTCCATGTTTTTCACACCTCATCACATACTATGGCTCTATTTTTCTCATCATCCAAACTAGTATATATGTTTTCTGCTCATGTATAAGCTTCAAGAAAAAATGCCCCAAGGAGAGTACATAGATGAGTCTTAAGACTCATCTATGTACTCTCCTTGGGGTATTTTTTTTCCAAATATTCAGTATTATGGTATTCAAAATCCAGACATGAAATCATACCAAACAGGATAGTTTAATTTCTTGGAAGAGGATTTTCAACAAAGTTCTATGTATTGTGACAGGCCCCTGAAAGCAAATTTTATGTGAAAGGTATTTTCATGTCCAAATTGTGAATATAATACGTCAGACTCTTTAATACACAATGTATCACACTGTCAGCCTGCCTGATTCCAAGGATAAGTCCTCCTAGCTACAGGAGGTGCAAGAAAAAATCAAGCAGAGGGCTCCTTTTGGTGGTTTTGGATGAGTGGAATGGGTGTTTTGGGGTGGTATCCAATGGTATTGGATTTAATCAAGATGAATAGACAGAAAATAATAACAAGATAAAGAATATCTTATCAGTAATTTTCCAGAGGGGCCTGTCAAACAGGGGTGGTTTGGATCCCTCTAAAGGTGTCTTGCCACAAGTGCAGAGGACTTTGGTACCTTTGAACAAAAGAACTGGGGCCTGTTGGACAGGGGTGGTTTTGATCCCAATAGAAGCGAAAATGTGGAGATTTCTGAGAAGTGTTGTTTACTTACTCATTGGTAAAAGGACTTCTCCAAAGGCTCCAAAGGGTTGAAAGGTGTTTCAGGGGAGATTCAGACAAGTAGAAATGAGGAATGTTGAGTTTCTTGTGGGTTGATAACAGGGGAACTGAACAGTGCTGATTTCTGGGTAAATGGTATGAAGCTGTCTGAATAATTATATTGGAGGCAAGAGAGCCTGCTTAAATATTAATTCAGGGATCTCTTGGGATGCTCAAATATGTCTAGAATCAGGTTTTGTGGCCTGGAAGGCCTTGCGTTGGCCTGTGTGTCTTTGTAAAATCCAGGTTGGTAGGGTATTTCCAGCACCAATGTTTATGTGTCATTTGGAGCATAAGAAGACCTCCAAAAAGGTGTTTTGAGCATCAGAGTGCATACAAAATTAATCTATCAAGTAAGAAACTTTGTGAAATATATTTGTGGACATATATTTTTCTTGGGGCTTGGAGAAGCAACTCCCAGGAAATGTAGGCCCAACCCCAGACCTGCATTTTGGGAGTTTTTCCTACAATATTGTCCGCATGTGGCTCCCATTTTGGAGTTGCTGTGCAAAAAATTGATATATAAAAAATTACAAGTGTGGGAGTTGGGACTCCAATTCTGACTCAATCCGCAGGAGTCAGAAAGAAAATTTCCCCCAACACCAAGTTGCAGGAGTTGCGCCATGCAATTTTAAATTGCATGGAGACTTGCTTCAACTCCCCCGCTTTTTATTCAACCTACAACCACTACAGCCTGACATCACCACACAAAGCCACCAAATCCAGCAAACCACAAAAAAGCAACCCCCTTATACCACCCAAAAGCACCAACAGGACCCCCCAAAACCCCTACAGACCCTCTTAACCACCCAGCCCTTCCCAAAAAACCACTCAAAAAAACCCTTCTAACCCTCCCAAATCACTAATCCACCCAACCCAACCTTTCCAAAACCTCCCAAAACCGCAAGAATGAGATCCCCAATTTCCTAGAACCCTCAAGTTGCCTCCCCAATGAATCAAACCACCACGAACCCCCAGAAGCTCCCAAATCCACCACAATAAGCCCCCAAACCCCACAATAACCCCAAGAAGAAGCCACAATCAACCCAATTATCCTTGAATTCACTCAAGAATTCATCAAAAAGATCCCAAAAAATCAGAAAATGAAAAACCAAAGAAAAAAAAAATTGATACTGCTAGTGAAGACACCAGCCACCCTAGCCAACCTGAGAGCCCTAAAAAGTGATACCCAAGCCAGAAAGAACTTTCTGAGAAACATGCTGAGCCCCACCAAGACACCAATCAATCAGAAAATCAACAAATTCAATCGGTCCAACATGAAAAAACCATTGAAGAATTTCTAGAAATCCTCAAGAATCAGCCAGCTAATGATGATGAATAAATCTCTCAGCAACCTCAACAAAGCTGCAAAAATCTATCTGAAGACCCTCAAGGAATTTCAGCCCCACCCAACAGAATTGTCTCTGACCCAGAGGTTCTCAAAACTTCAATCAAAGATTTTGCTTCAAAGCATGGCTATGCAATTGTCCTACAAAGGTCTGTTTCTGGAAAAATTATGATCTTCAAGGGTGAGAGGTGAGCTCCTTGTTTGAGTTTTCTATTGCTTATTTTTTTTCAACAAAATCAATGCTAATTATGTTTCCTCTCCTTCTTTTTTTCTTCTGCATCTAGGGGTAGAAAACCCACCAAAAATCACCATAAAGGAGAAACTTGTGACCCAAAAGTTACCTGTTTGATCAACTTTCCTATCTGTGCCTCTGGTTATTTTAAAAATAAAGCCAACCACTGGAAGTTCTCTGTCTCTAATCCCAATCAAAATCACAAACACTCTCTAGGCCCCACTGCACACACTGTCAACAGAAGACTCACTGATGACATCTACAGAGAAATTATAAAGCTTGGTGATGCTGGAATGAAGCCCTCTGCTATTCTGGAAGAAATTAAGAAGACTCAACCAAACAAAACAATTCTTGCCACCATATCCACCATTTACACTGCAAGAAAGAAAGTGTTGAAAATTCAAGTTCAAATCTTAATTTTCCACCGCCGTGGTAGGACATTTTCTAGGACTTCTACACACCCCTCCACTTCTTGAGTGTACTTGTTGAAAACTTGATCAAATTGTAAATCAAAAAGATGTCCCTCAGTTTACTTGTGTCAGAAATT